GGTTGATGTAGTTGAACTTCTTCTCGTTCCGACCAATCAAGTACCGAACGTACGTCACCTCCGAGTTCTGCACACGTTCAGCTCGATGACGTCCCTCGAACTCTTGATCTAGCAAAGTGTCGAGGAGATTTCCGTCGGCACAACGGCATGGTGACGGTGATGGTGAAGTGATCCGCGTAGGGCTTCGGCTAAGCACTACGTGAATATGACCGGGGGCGTAAATTGTGGAGGAGGGCGCCGCACACGGCTAACAATGTTTGTTGTGTGTTCTAGGTGCCCCCTCCCCACATATATATATAGGTGGGAGGGGGATGGGACAGCCATGGGGCGCCCCAAGTAGGAGGAATCCTACTTGGGGGCCTTGTTCAATTCGTCCCCCTTACCATCTTTTCCGGAGAGGGAAGGAAAGGGGAGAGAGGAGGGAAGGAAGGGGGAGGCCGAATTACCTCCCCTTCCTTCTCTCTTCCCCTTTTCCTTTCCCCTTCCTATTCGGCCAGGGGGGCGCAGCCGGCCATGCTGGCTGATGTGTTTCCCCTCTTGGCCCAATAGGCCCATATAGTTTGCCAGGGGTAGCCCGGAACCCCTTTCGGTGACCCGATACATACCCGGTACCCCCGGAACACTTCCGGTGTCCAAATACTATTGTCCTATATATGAATATTTACCTCTCAACCATTTCAAGACTCCTCGTCATGTCCTTGATCTCATCCGGGACTCTGGAAAACATTTGGTCACCAAATCACATAACTCATATAATACAAAATCGTCATCAAACGTTAAACGTTCTGACCCTACGGGTTCGAAAACTATGTAGACATGACCGAGACACCTCTCTGGACAATAACCAATAGCGGAACATGGATGCTCATATTGGTTCCCACATATTCTACGAAGATCTTTATCGTACCGTAATGACAACATACGTTATTCCCTTTGTCATCGGTATGTTACTTGCCCAAGATTCGATCGTCGGTATCTTCATACCTAGTTCAATATCGTTACCGTCAAGTCTCTTTATTCGTTCCATAATTCATCATCCTGTAACTAACTCATTAGTCACATTGCTTGCAAGGCTTATTATGATGTGCATTACCGAGAGGGCCCAGAGATACCTCTCCGATACTTAGAGTGACAAATCCTAATCTTGATCTATGCCAACCCAACAAACACCTTCGGAGATACCTGTAGAGCATCTTTATAATCACCCAGATACATTGTGACGTTTGATAGGACACAAGGTATTCCTTGGGTATTCGGGAGTTGCATAATCCCATAGTCAAAGGAATATGTATAAGTCATGAAGAAAGCAATAGCAATAAAACTTAACGATCATTATGCTAAGCTAACGGGTGGGTCTTGTCCATCACATCATTCTCCTAATGATGTGATCCTGTTCATCAAATGACAACACATGTCTATGGTTAGGAAACTTAACCATCTTTGATTAACAAGCTAGTCTAGTAGAGGCTTACTAGGGACACGGTGTTTTGTCTATGTATCCACACATGTATCAAGTTTCCGGTTAATACAATTCTAGCATGAATAATAAACATTTATCATGATATAAGGAAATATAAAATAACAACTTTATTATTGCCTCTAGGGCATATTTCCTTCAAAAACAACATGATGCCCCCATGTTTGGTTTTGGTAATGGATGACAATCCCTATGGACTAATGGTTGCTTTGAGTTATACTTTAAGGTTTGTCCATAGGCATTGCTTGAAGACCATATGTTGACCAATGTGTTATTCAAGGAGTTATCAAGATTGGTCATGTGAGAGTTGAGCCTATTGCAAGCATGTCTTGAATAAGAAGATTGTATGAACATGCATGTTTACCTTCTAGGTATCATCTTTATGAAGAGATAAGATAAGATACAAGGTTGACCAAGACTAAGTAAAAAGAGTGATTCAAGTTGATCAACACACTAAGCGTAGAAGATGTATCGAATGAGATCAAGTGACCCTATGGTATGGTAAGCATTATCTATTACACTTTGTGTACTCACCCATGGTCTATGTGAGAGTTTTTGTGGTGTTAGGTATGTTTCCATGGTCTTGCATCAAAAGGAAGATCTCTTATAACCCATGGAGGATGACATCAAGTGGTGATCGTCATCAAGGTTGTGGTGTGCAAGTTCAAGTGGAGTATCACGAAGAGATTACATTCTTGAAGCTTGGCGTCCATTGTGGTGACAATGGACATGTGAACATGTGCGAAGAGAGGCTCACCCATAGTGGAGGGTGGGGGAGCAATCTACTAGTCTTCATCAAGCCAGCACAATGAAGAAAGGTGGTGATCGTCATCATCTAGCACAAGTGGGCTATGCGCAAGGCAAATGTTTGTCCTTGATAGATTTTCTCTTTACCGATCTTATGGTGTTAGTTGGGAGACTGAGTTATAGGATCGATAATCGTACTATGAAGGGGAGCTCTGTAGTAAGTAACTTGATCGTATCATTCGGAGAGAGCTCAAAGCATTGCATCTTTGGCATCATATTTCTTGGTTCTTCTTTGGCTCTTCTCTTTGTGAGTTTTGGGTCTTGTGGTTTTCTTCATGACAAGCTCAAATTCATAAAAAATGGATCTTATATGCATCTTCTATTGTGTTTTTTATGTTGGAGTTTTTGTCGGATCATATTTCGGGAAGGTTCTATACCATATCCTATTGGCATCTATTCTCCATTGCTAGTTCATAATATATTCAGTTCTTGTTGGATAATACTTTTGTCATCTAACTAACAAGCTTGAGTTTGCTGATTTCGGAGTTCATTTGCAGAAGTTATGGCAGTTTTGGTCTTACTTGCATCCAATTGTTTGCCTGAGTAATTTTTTAAGCACCCAGGCGGTAGTACTACTCTGGTCCATGGTAGTACCGCTTAGGTGGTACTTCCGCGGATCAGTGCTGCTCCTACTACCGCTTCGGAAATGGCTTCTGGTGATCTGTATTTTATAAACGAAAGTGGCACGGTTGTAGCACGGTAGTACCGCGCTATGCGGTACTTCCGCTCTACCACCACTCCAGTACATCTGGTTCCTCTGTACCCAGTGACATTTAGTGGTAGTACCACTCTAGTACTAGTTGTACTCACCGTCTACGGCTAGAACTATCGCTCTAGGCGCTAGTACCGCTCCCCTGAGCGGTAATACCACTTGTGCACGACCAGTGCACTTAACGGTTGGATTCGAGCCCCCACTATAAAAAGGGGTCTTCTTCCCCATTGCCTCTAATGACTTTTGGCAAGCTTTCTCCTCCATTGTTGACCTCCAAAAGCTTTGCCTTCTCTCCATTCCTCTCATGGATCTTGCATCTTTTTGAGGAAAAAGAGAGAGGAGATCTAGATCTACGTTCTCCACCAGTCCATCTCTCCTCTTAGTGAGGGGAACCTTGTGGATCTAGATCTTGGAGTTCTTTTGTGTTCTCCTTGTTCTTCCTCACAAATTCCTCCACAACTTTTGTTGCTTTGGTGGGATTTGAGAGTGAGGAACTTGAGCACTTCGTGTGTTCTTGTCATTCATTAGTTGCATCGGCTTGAGAGTGAGGAACTTGGGCGCCCTAGACGGTTGGTGGTGTCTTGGAGCTCAACCATTCTGGTGTAAAACTCCAGCCAAGCTTCGGGGCCCCCAAATAGGTTTTGGAGATTGCCCCGAATAATTTGTACGGGTTCGGTGACCGCCCCTAAGGATTGCCAATTGTACCAATTGTACAAGTTCTATGACCACCCTCAAGGTTTCCTTAGTGGAATCACGACATCTTGCATTGTGCGAGGGCGTCAGGAGATTACGGTGGCCCTAGTGGCATTTGGGGGAGCATCGTGCCTCCATACCGCTACAAACGAAGATTAGCATCCACAAGGGTGTGAACTTCAGGATCATCGTCGTCTCCGCGTGCCTCGCCTATCTCTTACCCGAGCCCTTTACTTATGCACTTTACTTTGTGTTAGCCATAGTATTTAATGTTATATATCTTCCTATCACTCAGTTGTTTATCTTGCTTAGCATAGGTGTTGGTGCACATAGGTGAGCCTATTTTATTTAGGTTTTATGCTTGACAAACTAAACGATAGTTTTATTTCGCATTTGTTCAAGCTTAACCCATAGTTATTTTAAATCGCCTATTCAACCCCCCCCCCCCTCCCTCCCCCACGATCTATCAGTGAGACACTCTAGTGTAATTGTCTGTTATGTGTAGCTGTTAACTCTAATTATGTCCAGCGTATGCAACCAAATATCGTATAGTTGCATTAGCATAGCCAATGCAGTACACAAAACGTCATGTCAAAATTGCTCCCCTAATATGCAGGCTCTACAGGAAAAATAAATGAAGCCGTGTAAGAAAAATATACGGTAAAGGCCATTTTAACCACGGCGAAGTGAGTGTTACTTGCGCGTAGTGTACACGGCTTAGTATGTTTCGGCTTAGGAGTTGTAAGCCGAGTGTCAATTATCAGGTACTCGGCTTACAAGGCGAGAATAAAATGATGGCACCCAGCGAAGATACTGAGCCACCCTCATAATCATTCAACCACAAATTGTTTTTCTGTTACTATATTTTTCATTGCTTATTAATACTATTGATGGCTCTTGATCAGTGCCAGGCGGCAGCAGCAGCTGCTGCAGCTCTCGGTGAAAAAGGCATGCATTTTACAACTAGTTTTTTCTAGGGAACATTTTGTAACTGCATTGCTAGGAACGGACAGGCCAGGCAAGCATTTCCTCTCACAGGGCACCAACAGAACAAAGGAGCCCAGGATAGGCGTGCACTACCATGGACACCAAACTGTTCATAGACTCCCCGCGTATGGCGGCCCGAACCAGGCAGCCCATCCACGGCTCTGGTCGAGAACCCAACCAAGTCTAACTGGCGGCCGCCGGGTGACGTAAGTAGCACCCTTTTACAGCCGAAAGTCAGAAATCGACCTACATCCACGCAGAGGATTAAAGACCAAGGTCTGATTTGTGTATATATAAAGCAACACAGTCAGGGTCTCTTCACCGTCACACCTAGGAAATCCAACAAAAATCACGAACAAAATCAGCCACAACACAACACAAATATCAAACAAAAAGCTAACACTGCATAGTCTAAACCTTTTTGTCAAATGCAGGAGTGTGCACATGGTCCTTGCTCCCACAATACAAACCGGATAACTCAGTTTGAGTTTCCTGACAGATTCAGATCAAAAGCTACCAAGAAAATATAGCAAACGGATTGTCTAGGTTCAGAACGGTCAACGATTTCTAAACTATGGAAGAAAACTGGTGCTTCAAATCTTCTTTTCCCTAATAATAATGAAGTGCTTCAAAACTTTCTCTAATGGAGTGCTTCAAAACTTGATGTGCCTTGATATGTCTACTGTATGTATGTTCCTTCTAATCTCTACCTGCTCAGGCTCACCAAGCGTGCACCCCTATCCCCTCTAGATGGCATACCAGACTGCGTGCGGGCTCTTCCATCGTGGAACCGTGAACCGCCACCACCATAGCCTCCACGGGATCCCTGGCCACTCCTGTCGTTTTGGTAACCACCTCCACGTCCAGAACCTCCGGTTCGCCTGGCATAGCCTGACCTCCCACCGCCTCGCCGCCCTTGTGATGATACAAAGTTCTCCTGCCACTTGCCCAAACCGTACGAGTCTTGACCATCACCACCCCTGCGCCTGGGCGGTGCACCCTCAAGGGCGCCACCAGTCCTAGCCTCATACGCCCTCTCGTTGCTCTCCACAAGGACAGAGAGCCTATCAGCCATCTGGAAGAGTAGTCCCTGCAGCCTAGTTTGATACACGTTCTGGAAAATGATGCAATTCGTTGGTTGGTCCCAGCTTGCATGAAGCTCCTCATGCATCATCATCTTGCTAACAATGCTGTGAGCCTGTTTCTCACTGAGGTCAAACATTGTAGTGAGCTGGTCAAGGCTCAGGGACTCGTAGCAAGACGAGTAAGAAAACAGATATGTTCTGAGAGCCTCTTCCTTGATCTTAAGCTTCAGCATTTCAAGAATATGTTCCTTGTTCCTCAAAAGCTTCCAGGTATCGAGTGAACTGATGACACTGAAAGCCTTCTCGTAGTCACCCTTAGTGAGGGCTCTTGTGGCAGCCAATACATGGTCCCTCACAGTCTCCGGAGGACCAACAAAAGTCTGCCTCTCACTAATTTCAAGAAGCCTGCGGAATGTTTTGCTCATAGGCCTTCGCTTATCAAAAGCACTGGCAGCCATGTTGGGGACCTCAATTAGCATAGCACAAACCAAGTGTGTGGCTTCCAAAAGTTCAAGATTTATATGCATATGGTAAGGCATCATCCTTCTCCTCTCAAGTCTTTCCTGCAAGAATAAGAGTAACGATAGTGTGAGAAGTGATGATCACTAGCGCAAAAGTAACTACATAGTGTTCAAAAAATATTGGTACATAGTAATATCTTCTCAGCACAGCTTTATATATTAAATCCTGTAGCTAAACCCAAGAATTGGAGCGGATATATCAGTTATCAAGATACTTAGAATAAGAGTTGATAATCTTTTCAATATGGATGAAACATCAGAGTTATTTCGTGTAAAATCAGGATTCAAGTATTTGAAAATTCAAAAAGAACGAATAGCAAGTAATGAAATAACAAATAAATGCACGAATAGAAAGTCTATCGAGGAATTCTGTAAACAGACTTGTTCTGGTACAGAAATAACTCAATGGTGGCACTTTTCCAACTATGAATGTTTTATGTAGGACTAGGTGACAACATACTGACCAGTGTGTGGCTACCCAAATAAGGGACAAAGAAAGTGCGTGTTCTGGGGGTAGGAAGTTCACCTGTTCAGGAGTTTTGTCATGGTATCGGCTCTGCTGTACCCCTTGCGCAAGCAACTCTTTCACTCTCCCAAATGAATATAGCTCAGACAGGCAACCATGAGCTTCAGCAATATAACCAGCCCTGAAAGCACATAACCCCAGTTGGGCCATGACACTGTTGTATAAAATCTGTGATGATATGTCCATAAGTTGAACCCCATCTTGTAAACGACTCATTAAGATCAAGTCACGAGCCACTGAAAATTCATCAGAGATTGCATAGTGATATATCTGACACAGGATTGCTCGGGCTTTGGTCCTTTCATCTCCATACTTGTAAATCAGAGACATCAGATCATCCATCAAAGCTCTGTTGCTTGGTGGGAAAGTAGGCTTCCTAGGCACAACCTCTGGAATCACAACAAATGGTGGCGGTCCCCTATTGTCATCAGTTTCTTGATGCTCCTCACCAGCCTCAGTATCTCCATCATCCATGCTAAGTTCGGTCTGCTCAGCCAGTTTCCTCATTGCATCATACACTTCTTGAGGTTTGTAATAGACTAGTTCAACACGACGCAATGCAACCTTTGCAGCAGCCTTAAAGTTCTGAACCCTTTCTTGGTAATCTTGGACATTCTGTGCAACCACCAAAAACAAGGGTTCATCTCTAAGCCTCTGAACATAATCTTTTGTATATGGATCGCTGCACTGTAAGCTCTTGAAAAATTCAGAGTCAATTCTCTCCAGAAACGCAACGAGGTCACCTGTAACATGGATCGTTCCATCGTAGTCAGCACCCTTCTGAGTTTCCTTCTCATCAGACTCCACTGAGGTGTCTACAACAATATTAGGATATTGTTGCAGTATATCAAGCACAAGAAGCATATTATCAACACACTTCTTCCACACGTTGATCGGCATATGACCAAGTAAGCTAGGATTGACATCAAACTGAGCAGAAATCACATGAAAAAGAATTTCAAGCTTCTGGGCAGGGGTTTTTGCCACACGAGTCAAAAATGTTAGCTGCTCCACACGCTCAATTCTCCCAGTGCCCTTCTTACCTCTCGACGCCACAATCTCCTTAAGCTTTTTATCAACAATATCCCATGTAATCTCACTGGGGTCTTTCAAGAACTGTTTGTCCATAATCTTATCTTTCTTGCTCAACTTCTTTTCCCAGGCTCCACCCAGATTACCCTTATTGTCATCGCTACTGTCATCTCGATCTGGTTCAGGATCCACAATATCTACGTCACTACCATTATCACCACTATCATCATCCAAAACCTTTTCATCTGCAATGTCATCTTCAAAACTCTCTGGATTATCTCTGCACTTCTGGATCAGGTCTTCATACTGCTTATTGTTCTTCCTAAGTTTTTGTTTCACTGCAACGAGTGCCCTGGCGTTGCTGCTGCTCATCTTCACCTTGGCTTCCTTGTTTGCAAGGGCCTCAGCAAGGAAGTCCTCCAGTAATACAATAGCTGTGATGTACCTATTTGGAATTTTGGTAGATTCGTTGACACGAACAACCTTCTCAAGCTGCTTATTGAGCTTGTCAAAACTCTCTTGCAAGCTAATACAGTCATTGATCTTCATTGCATTGCGCATCTGGTCGGTAGTAGCTTTCATCTCATCATTGCGCTTGTCCTTCAACGAGCGAATCACACGATGACTCTCAGTATCAGAGTCGTCACTGTCATCTGAATTCAAATAGCGGTTCTTGGACACATCACGACCCCCATCACCAGCTTCTGATTTTTCACTATCGCTCCCTTGTTCTGACTCAATATCGTCCACCTCCTCCTCGGAGTCGCTGTCTCCCTGATATTGGGTAGAACAGAACAAAGATAAAAGGTATTAATGCATTTGACGAGGATGAAATTTATACATATTAGTTACTGCACCAAAGAATTGGAGTCAGCGACTAAGTACCTGTCCCCAAAAACGAGACGCCATGGCTGTTGTCTGTTTGTTTTCCTTCAACTAGATTCAAAGCTCTGCAAAAATAATACAGGCAGAGAAAGAATTATAATTATAATCAGAACAAACTACAGAAGAAATCACACGGAGTATATCTGAACCACAGGCTAGCAGAACGAATAACTTGTATCCTCATAACACATAATTGACTCTAACTGAATAGAAGAACCATGCTTAGGGACTGATTCAGATGGATAATCAACCTCAAGACAAACAATAGCTCATCAGAAGCAGTTAACCAAGACAACTAAGTTCGCGTCGATGAGCATAGAGCTAGAACTATAAACTATACGGTTTAACCTAAACATAAACCAACTGGATTGAGGAATCGCAAGGGGGCGCGACCAAAACACGATACGTCGGCTAAGCATAGAGTCTTGACATCCCACGGAGTCGGGGTGGCGCCCGTCCTCTCGTAGGCGGCTAGGGCTAGGACACGGCGGCGGGATGGCGCGCAACAAGGCGGCGGCGTCGAGAGCGCTGGCCGCCGGGATGCAATGCTAACTAGGAGAGAAATTCGATCAGGTCGACTTTACCTTGCCTTGAGTCGCGCCGGCGGAGCGGAGTAGCCTCGGATCTAGCGGAGAAGGGAGGCGTTGAGCGGCGGAAGGCGTG